CAGGAACGCGATGTCTCCCCTCTCCCTGGCCTCCCTTAACTTCGGCATCAACTCCCTTCTTCTCTTCCTCACAGACTCGGTGTAATCTTCATTTATATAAATGTTAGATCCTTTAAGCTTCTTTGCTTGTTGCAATATGTGTGCCTTATCTTTCTCTTTCATCAACTTTACCATCACCGCCCTCGGACCACGATTCGAAGGTTTCCCGACTCTGTGAGCCCGCTCCATCTCAATTTCTTGATGTATCTGCAGGTTATTCTTCAGAATCTCCTTCACTTTGCATTCCGCTTCCGACCAGCTTTCTCCAGCTGTCTCCTTGATTCCCTCAAAGATCAAGTTTTTTTCGCTTGGACTGTGCTTCCAGATACTCCATTTTGTCCGTTATAGTTATTAAACTCTCACACGTTTTGTAGACGTCATCCCTCGTTTCCTTGGTTTGTGTTTTCTGTTCACCCATGGCAGCTTTAATCACATCCACCTCTCGCTGGGTAAACTGCAAACTCGTTTTTATCTCCTGTATTTCTCTGGTCATGTCGTCGAATCTCTTGTTGTTTGTTTCCATAATTAGTTGCACGAAGCTTTTGAAGTTTTCCTGCTGTTGGTTCATCAGCACAATGTACAGTACATCTGTTTCTGGTGATCCACAATGTCCATTACTTGCACCGCTCTGTGATACACTTCTTCTGCCTCCATATCCTCATTCGCTTCTGATTCATTAGCTCTTTTCCCTCTTTGAGGCATTTTAATAGTTGTAGAGTTTGTTCAAAGACTTGAAAAGTGTAGAACAGACAAGAGGAGCTGTAAAGGCGTCTGCTCTCGCTTGCAACCCGGAAATAATCATGTACAACTGTGAAAGTTAAAGGTCGATTTTAAAAACTATATCAAAGATGTGCTCCTTTTCGTTTGTGCTGGCATCTCAGATAAACCAGCAGACTTTAGAAAGGTCACCATTCTGCTAACTGGACTGTACCAGCTTCTCTGGGTTTTTCTTACAGGGATCAGTCAGATGGAACATGTCGAAGTAAAGTGCACCCAACAATCTTCCGTGTGCCTTCGGTTATGCACAAACCTCCACATTAGTCTGACTTGTGTTACAAAGACGTCTGAGCCAATAAACCAGCATGTAAAATACCAGTGCTAAGCAGAATTTAGTTTCTACAGGATTTATCTAAATGGTAATTTTTTTTTTTTGTTGTTGTTAACCACTGTTTAAACGAGTAATACACTGTTAAAGTACTAACACCTGAGCAAATAATTTTTCTTATCAAGTCCAGTGAAACCACTCCTGTCTTCATCTGTAGCTGCCGTCACACAAGCGCTCCCATCAGGGAGGCACATTTTTTATAAATACAGTTGTTTCCAGTTCAGGATCAAAGATTTTTATTGTCACGTCACCGTATGTGCAGGACATACAGAAAATTGAAATATCGTTTCTCTCTCACCTAATACTGAATGCCATACCATTTAGGAAACTAAAAATAGAATAAAAGTAGAGTAAAAATAGAATAAAAAAGAATAAGAAAACTAATTAGGATAAAGCTAGATGGTAGTGCAAATAATAACAAAGATTGTCAGATGGTCAGATAGTGCAAATGACCAACAGCAGCAGATATGACGGTAAAAACTGTCAGCAGCAGATTTACATGTAATATAACAAGAAGGGGGAATGTACTGGGTTTGTGCAAAACTTGCTGACTGAGCAACAGATTTACAGGTAATATAACAAAAAGGGGGAATGTACTGGGCTTGTGCAACAGCAGGGGTAGTATTTCTATGTCTCTTTATGTTCAGCCAGTGATGACGCTCTCAATGGTGCCCCGGTAGAAGAAGCACATGATGGGGGGTGGGGCACTGGCTCTCCTCAGTTTGCGGAGGAAGTAGATGCGTGTTTGAGCTTTCTTGGCCAGTGATGTGGTGTTGTTGGTACAGGAGAGGTCCTCAGAGATGTGCACCCCAGGAACTTGGGACTGCTCACTCTCTCCACTACAGCACCGTTGATGGTCAGTGGTGGATGCTTTAGAGGTTTTCTCCTGAAGTCCACAACGATCTCTTTTGTCTTCCCCACACTGAGGAAGAGGTTGTTGTCCTTACACCACTGGACCAGTTGGCACACCTCACTACCCCTGTAAAGCCCAACACATCAAAAACTAGCCAGAACAGTCCAGTTTTTCGGACATTAGATATTTATTAAACCTTTTCACAAAATCCAAGATTCAAAATCCAAGATTCAAGATTTTTATTTGCCATTTATGCATAGACAGACCGTCCAGGCATATAGGAATAAATGTGCCATATTATTTAGAATATTTTTATTTTGTTTGGTATCACATTTGATACATGGGGCATTTTTGGTGATTTCTATCTGCTCAGAAACTTGCATATCAAATATGATACGAATGGCTCTATAGGGCTACTGTAGTTGGCCTCATCGTTGTTGGTAATGAGGCCAACTACAGTCGTGTCATCCACAAACTTGACAATGTGGTTGGTGCTGTAGGTTGGTACACAGTCGTGGGTCAGCAGTGTGAAGAGCAATGGGCTGAGCACACACCCCTGTGGAGCCCCTGTGATCAGCGTAATGGTCTTGGAGATGCTGCTGCCGACCCACATATTTTGTGGCCTCCCTGTTAGAATGTTCAGCAAGATGTATTATTATCACACAACTTACTTACACACAGTGATTCTGTGAAAGTGACTAAATGCATCTTTGTGGGGGGACAAAATTGGTCCTATTAGGCAAAAGAAACAAAATGCAGTTAATGGTTGAGAGACAGGCTCATTCCTGGGGCTTTAAATTTCCAGTAGAAATGATTAAATAGTAACAGTGACCCGGAAGAAGCAGGAAAACAGTGTAGGGGCAAACAACAGAGCAAATGAAAGTGTTTAGTGTCTGGTTTTCAAATGTCGTGTGGTGTCTCACTGGATCAGAGTAGGCAGTGCTAAAGAATTGGCATTGATCTGAACAGTGTCACGCTGGGTTTTGTACAATGGTGCTTGAAAGTTTGTCCACCCTTTAAAATTGTCTGTATTATTGCATAAATATGACCTAAAGCTTGCGCACTACAGCACCTGGCTGAACAGGTAACTAGTATGGAACTGGAATATCGCAACTCCCCACTCATTGTCCTAGGGGATTTAATAGAGCAAATATCACACAAGAACTGCCCAAATACAGACAGCATGTCGCTGGACCACTGCTACACAGCAATAAAAGACACCTATCGCTCTGTCTCTATGCAGCCCTCAGTCTCTGATCACTATATGGTCCATCTTATACCAACTTACAGGTAGAAACTTAAAGCTGCGAAGCTTGTGGTCAAAACAGTGAAGAGCTGGACTGAGAAGGCTAAGTCAGAGCTACAGGCCTGCTTTGACTGCACAGACTGGAGTGTATTTGAGACTCCAGCTACAGACCTGGATGAACTCTGACGCTGTGACATCATGCATCAGCTTTGTGAGGACATGTGTATCCACCAAGACCTTCTGGAGGAGCTACTCTGAAAAGCTGAGAAACCAGGTTTCAGCCAACGAGTCCTCGTCTGTGTGGGGAAGTCAGAAAAACACGACTCCCCCACTGTGGAAGACCATCAACTAGCAGATTAACCGGAATGTGTTTTACTGTAGAGTTAAGAGGCAGAACCCCCACTCCACCCTACCTCACCTCAGACCCAGCAGCTGCTCCCCCCACAATCACCTCCCTTCCCCCAGCCCTGAAGATCTGTGAAAAGGATGTGCAGCCTTTTTAAAAAACAAAAGTCCAGCTGATCAGCCTGAAAGCCTGTGCTGATCAGCTGGGCCCCATCTTCACACTTCAACAGGTCACTGGAACTGTGTGACTTCCCCTCCTGCTTCAAACGCTCCACCATCATCCCAGTCCCCCAGAAACCCTCCATCAGTGGACTGAACAACTACAGACCTGTCACCCTGACATCTGTAGTCCTGAAGTCCTTTGAGAGACTGGTGTTGGCCTACCTGAAGGACATCGTAGCCCCCCAGGTAGCTGGATGGACCTAAAAAAAAACAACCCTCCACACTGGAGAAATGTGTTTTTTTCACAGTGTCAGATATTTGCAGGGAAGCAACACTTGTCTTTTGGAATGTTTAGATGGAGTATCAGTCACAGGAAAACAGGGTTTTGTTTCTGTAATCTTAATTCTTTAAACTTGAACTTTTGCATGTGCAAATACTAATGTTTTTTTACAGAAAAAAATTAACACTTCTCCATCACTGTTGATTGAAGGTGGGACAGATTTTTGAAATGTGCTAAAAAGAAGTTAAGCAGGTGACATTAACATTAATTTGTGAAATTCATTTATAAACTAGTTCTAACAACCTACATCTGTTTCCTCAGATGCAACTTTCTTGACTTTAAACCCTCTCATAAATGTGAACAAAAGATTTATTCAGATGTTTCTCTTTAAATGATGTCATTAAGTCAGACCAGCTGTGATCATTACTGGAGTCCAGCTATGATTTCCCGATGTACACACGCATATGAAGCGACCTTTTATTGTGACGGTCTCAGAGCGGATGTGTGGTTGTCATGGTTTCGTCAGTCCTCGCCGGTTGAACCGGGGAAGGTTTCAGTGACAGTCAGATCGTGGAAGAGTCGACATGGCCGCGTACAGCAGGACGATCCTGCTCGCCACCAGGGTCCTGTGCAGCAGCGGAGGAGCTATGCAGCTGCTGCAGCTGCGTGAGCAGCTGCTGGAGACGTGCGACATCACCGAACAAGAGTTTTTCCTCATCACGCAGGAGTGTTCCCGCTTCCTGGTCCTCGGCCTAACGGTTGTGGCTCAAACGTCCCTGCGGTTGTGCAGGAGCTACGGCCGGGAGGAGCCGGGCGAGGCCGGGGCGTGCCAGGACCTGCACCTCTGCAAGTTCTTCATCTACGGAAACTGCAAGTTCGGCAAGGGCAGGTGAGCAGCAGGGGGGGGTGGCAGAGGGGGGGGGGGGGGGTTATTTATATATTACGATTTATCACATGGGTTAGGGTTAATTCACTGGACATATACGTTATGATTATGGTCTGCTGCATCGCCCACTTTATCTCCACCCACAGCTGCTTCTGTCGGGTCAAACCAGCGTAAAATCCAAAACCAGACACAGTCCCAGTAGCAGTAGGAGCAAAGCTCTGGTTTCCAGATGTTCTCCTCATTTAAAAGGAGGAAAGAGATGAATACATGTAAATAGTGACAGAGGAGAGTCTGACCAGTCCTGGGATTCAGCGAAACTCCGCAGTAAATAAAAATTAATCCTCGTGGTTTTATTAAAGAGCTTACTTTATAATGGATTGGGAACTATTTTACGTTACAGCGGACGGATACAGACTTCCTGCAGCAGTGAAGAGAAACGAAACTTAGAGAAAGGTGGATTTAAGTTAGAAATAATTTATATAATTTCTAATTACGCCTTGAAACTAGTTTTTTAAATATTTTCTAAGCCTAATTAGTTTAATTAGTTCAGTTTAATTAATTAGTTCAGCTCGTCATTAATCAGCTGACTGTACTTGGTGAAGGTGTTTAGTTTCATTTAGCTGGAAATCAAAGTCCCTGAAGAGAAGAGAAACTAAACAGCAGTGTGTTTAAATGGTGAGTTATTAACCTTCAGAGCGTTGATAATTTCTTAGTGAATTGAATTTGTCATTTTAAATGGTCGATTTTCTGCTTTTCCTTGAAATCCAGTAAACACGCTCCTTTAAACAGGACATCAGGGGGACACTGGTGCAGTCTTTTCTGCTTAGGGGCTTTTTTAACACAGGTTCACGTTTCAGTTCACACACTGAAACAGTTGTTACTGTGGGTCTGTTTCCCCTGTTCATACACGCTGCAAACTGTGTTTTCACTGTAAATCTGGGAACTCAGCAGGCTGAGTTGACCTCTCGCTGTGCGTTACTGTCTCTCCACTGCAGCTCCACACTGACCGACTGCCCGGTCTGACATTTCACCTACAGACAGCGCCAGTTGGAATCTGTAGACCGCTGAAAATTTGGGTTTTGGCCTTAGGGTTTTTTCTACATAGTCATGACCAAATAAACAACAATCACAGTTCAAACTCTTATTTATTAAAGTGATTTTGTCTTATTGTTAAATCTCATGTAATGAAGCAGCGATGCTTGTTAGCTTGTTAGCGGGCGCTCTGTGCTGGTTTGAATGTGTGTGAAATTTGATGATAATCACCTCAGATCATTAACATCACTGTTGTTTATCACAGGAAACTGTGTAAATTCTCCCACGACATCCAATCACATCACAACTGGCGAGTACTGAGAGACTGCACGCTGCACGAGCTGGATGAAGATGACCTGTTCCTGCTGCTGCTGCAGAACGACCCCACTCTTCTACCGGAGGTAACGCACCTGTGACGCACCTCACCGTACGCACCTGTGACGCGCCTCACCGTACGCACCCGACACAACTGTGACGCGCCTCACCGTAAGCACCCGACACACCTGTGACGCGCCTCACCGTAAGCACCCACGCGCCACACCGTACGCACCCGACACTCCTGGGACGCGCCACACCGTACGCACCCGACACTCCTGGGACGCGCCACACCGTACGCACCCGACACTCCTGGGACGCGCCACACCGTACGCACCCGACACTCCTGGGACGCGCCACACCGTACGCACCCGACACTCCTGGGACGCGCCACACCGTACGCACCCGACACTCCTGGGACGCGCCACACCGTACGCACCCGACACTCCTGGGACGCGCCACACCGTACGCACCCGACACTCCTGGGACGCGCCACACCGTACGCACCCGACACTCCTGGGACGCGCCACACCGTACGCACCCGACACTCCTGGGACGCGCCACACCGTACGCACCCGACACTCCTGGGACGCGCCACACCGTACGCACCCGACACTCCTGGGACGCGCCACACCGTACGCACCCGACACTCCTGGGACGCGCCACACCGTACGCACCCGACACTCCTGGGACGCGCCACACCGTACGCACCCGACACACCTGGGACGCGCCACACCGTACGCACCCGACACACCTGGGACACACCACACCGTACACACCTGATGCACCTGACACACCTGTGACGCACCACACCGTACGCACCTGTGACGCACCTCACCGTCTGCACCTGACACACTCAATCAATCAAAATGTATTTACATAGCACTTAAAAAGCAACGTCTGGTCGACCAAAGTACTGTACAAAGGCAATGTAAAAACCAGAAATAAATAATATCAATAGAGAAATAAAAACATAACATAAACACAAACTACACAAAATCAACAGTTAGAAGAAGAAAGCATCAGACACTATGTATTAAAAGCCAAAGTAAAAAATATGTTTTAACCAATGATTTAAAAGTTGTCAAGTCTGTAGATGATCTAACATTAAAAGTTAAACCATTCCACGTACTAGGAAATTCGACCATATAACCCCGGTACTGGCCTCTCTTCACTGGCTTCCAATCCATTTTAGAATTCATTTTAAGCTATTGATTTTTGTTTTTAAGGTTCTTAATGGTTTGGCACTGCCCTACCTCGCTGACTTGGTGAGGTGGCACGAACTGACTAGATTACTCAGATCCTCAAGCCAGTTTCTGTTAGAGGTTCCCAGGGCCAGATACAAACACTGGGGTGACCGTGCTTTTACTGTTGCAGCTCCTAAATTGTGTTAAAAGACGAGCAGCAGCATTTTGGACCATTTGAAGACGAGTGAGAGACAACTGATTAACACCAAGGTAAAATGCGTTACAATAGTCATGTCTAGAAGTTATGAAAGCATGAATTGCAATCTCAAAATCATTAAAAGAAAGGAATGACTTGACTTTACTTAGCAACCTCAGGTGAAAGAAACTAGATTGTACGACCGAGTTGATCTCCTTGTCGAATCTTAAGTCGCTGTCAAACGTTACCCCTAGGTTTTTTTTACAGTCATCTTCAAATGATGAGTCAGGGGCCCTAAGTCGTGGTTAAAAGCAGCAAATTTCGCCAGATCGCCAAATAAAACACACTCTGTTTTATCCTCATTTAATTTTAAAACGTTCCGCGCCATCCATGCTTTCAGCTCAGTCAAACAGTGGCTGTAGAGACGTCCCTCCAGCTGCTTTTAATGGTAAATATATCTGGATGTCATCCGCATAGCAATGTAAAGAGAAGCCATATCTCTTTAGAAGTGATCCTAGCGGAAGCATGTACTGGGGGAGGGGAGTTGGGCCGAGTACAGACCCCTGGGGGACACCACTGAAGAGGAGGAACAGTTACCAATATTAACAGAAAAACTTCTACTCGTGAGGTAAGATCTAAACCAATTAAGAACAGTACCACGAATTCCTATACACTGTTCCAGGCGAGATATGAGGATTTCATGATCCACTGTATCGAAGGCAGCAGAGAGGTCTAAAACCACCAGCAGAACTAGATCCCCAGCATCCTTGGCCAACAAAATGTCATTATTAATTTTTAATAATGCTGACTCTGTACTGTGTTTTGGTTTAAACCCAGACTGGAATTGCTCCTCAATGCCATTATCTGCCAGAAAGGACTGGAGTTGAATAAGAACAATCTTCTCTAAAACTTTTGACATAAAAGATCATTTGGACACTGGTCTAATATTAGAAAACACTAAAGGATCTAGATTCGGCTTTTTAAGAAGAGGCTGGACAATTGCTTGTTTAAAAGCATCTGGAACTGAGCCTGTAGTCAAACATAAATTAACTAGGGCCAGAAAGCTAGGACCTATAAACTCAAAAACATCCCTGAATAATCTTGTTGGCAGGAAATCAAGAGAACAGGGAGATGTTTTCATGTGTAAAACCACTTCTGATAACACAGGCAAAGAAACAGTCTCAAATTGGTCAAAAATAGCAGAAGGCAGGGGAAAGTCAACTGAGTCAGAAGAAGTGATAGTGGAGAATTGCCTAATGCTAGCAATTTTGTTAGTGAAATAATGTAGAAAACCCTCACATATTTCAACAGATGCCTCAGGATGAGAGGTAAGGTTACATGGGCTAATAACAGAGTTGATTGTAGAGAACAAAACCTGAGGTTTGTGATGATTACTGACCACAATGTTAGAAAGATAGTTCGATTTTGCAGATTTCACCACCTTCTGATAGTCCGAAAAGCAGTCCCTGAAATGGTGAAGAGAAACAAAGTTTATCTTTTTTCCATTTGCATTCAGCTTTATGACATCTTCGTCTATGTTCCTGAGTTAAGTCATTTAGCCAAGGATCCACCTTCAGCTTAGCCGGTTTACATCAGAGGGGAGCTATAGAATCCAATATATCCTGACAGGTGGAGGTTAATAGAGTTAATACTTCCTCAGGATCCATGTAGGAGGACACATCACCCATCAGATACAGACCAGAATTTTTAAAGCAAGTAGAAAACTCTCCTGCTGTTGAAGAGGTGATTGAGCGTTTGATACCAGCAGAAATAGAGGGTTTATCAGACTGTGGAGGCACATTAACATTAAATAACAGAGCGAAATGATCGGATAATCAAGAGTCACCTACTTCAGTAATAACAACAGGCAGCCCATGAGAGATCACAAGGTCCAGTGTATGTCCGAGCTCATGTGTAGGGCTATGCACCGACTGGGTGAGGTTAAAAGAGTCAATAATACTTAGAGCCTTTAAACAAAGGACAGACCGGGCAACATAATGAATGTTAAAATCACCAAAGGATTAAAAGCCTATCAAACTTTGGCAAGATAAAACCCAGGAGATCAGAGAACTCCTGAATAAAGTCCTTATTAAATTTAGGAGGACAATAAACCACTGCGCACAGCAGCGGTTGAAAAAGTTCTATCACAAACAGCTGTAGTTCAAAACTTGAATAATTGTCCACTGTCAGCTGCCAACATTGAAAACTGTTTGTAAAAACACATGCCAGCCCACCGCCCCGACCTGTCGTACGAGGGGAGCTGAGGAAGGAATATCCAGGTGGAAGAAGCTCAGAGAATGCACAATGCTCACCTTCCTTTAACCACGTCTCAGTCAGCAACATAAAATCCAGTTTCTGTGATATAAAAAAGTCATTCAGAATGAATGTCTTGTTAGCCAGTGATCTAACGTTAATCAAACCCATCTGAATTGATAAAACAGGGTTTGGTGGCTGAGACACGTCTCAGCGGTAGGAGATTAGACCAATTTACGCCTCTTCTTGGATGACGTGAAAGTCGGCGATATGGATGAGAGACTGTGAAATCCAGGCCTATGGGCCAAGGCCAGCGAGTAATAGTAGGACGACAACAAAACCAATCCGGTCCATGGCGACGGTCAGAGGCATCCGCAGAAAGACAGCACCAGAGGGCCTTTAGGCAGACAGCCACCCCGCTCCTCCTTCCTCGTTTTCTGGTACGCTTTCTTTGCGAGCAGACAAAGCAAGAACGCCGAAGATATGCTGGTATCTTCGCCAGTAATGGTAGGACAGTCTTTGAGTTATCCCAGCCTGTTACACTGGGACAAATGAATATTAAGAAGGGCGGCACGATCGTACATTAGTAGAGCTGATGCATTCTGAGTGACAGTGGAGAGAAGCAGCATAAACAGCAAAAACAGTAACATACACCAGAGAGGCTGACGGCAAGGCATGAACAGCGGCGCCATCTTGGTTCCAGAAGTTCAGACACACCTGTGACACAACCTGTGATGCACCACACCGTACGCACCCGACACACCTGTGACACACCTCACCGTACACACCCGACACACCAGTGACGCACCTCACCGTACGCACCCGACACACTTGTGATGCACCTCACCGTAAGCACCTGACACACTTGTGACGCACCACACCGTCTGCACCTGACACACCTGTGACGCACCTCACCGTCCGCACCTGACACAACTGTGACGCGCCACACCGTACGCACCTGACACACCTGTGACGCACCACACCGTATGCACCTGTCACGCACCTCACCATACGCACCTGTGACGCACCACACCGTACGCACCCGACACACCTGTGACGCACCACACCGTACGCACCCGACACACCTGTGACGCACCACACCGTACGCACCCGACACACCTGTGACGCACCACACCATACGCACTGTGCCAGCAGCCTTACATTTGACACATTACAGGTGTTCAGTCAGGTTTGTGTCTCTAAGACTGGCCTGATCTGGATCAGCTTGGACCTGCTTTTATATCTTCTCACATCATGGTGATCAGAGAAAGTGTCTCAGACCTTCAGCTGAAACAGAACAGCTGATCGGCCCCTAACAATCCATATCAGTCCAGCTTTGGCCTCTCTTCACTGGTTACCAGTAAGTGCCCAGTATGAAGTAAAGTCCCCAGCTACCCAGATGACTGTGTGAAGCTCTGAGGTGCAACAGCATCGTTTAAGTCGCTTCTCAAAATGCATGTTTTTAAAAGGCACAGTTTCATTATTGTTGTTTGCAGCTGTGGGGTTTTGTTGAAGTGTGTTCATCCTGGTCCAGCCTTGTAAAACGCTGCGGCCTGGTTTTCTAACATGCTGTGTAAATGAAGTTCACTATGATGGTGCTCAAGTTTACTGAAGCTTTTCTCCACTCACAGCTTTTGTTCTCTTCAGCCCTCATTTACACATGAAACATGTTTGTGTTGCAGGTTGTTCTCTGTTTCTGCTCTCACACCTTTGGACAGAGTAAAATAATTTACCTTTACTCTCGGTTCACTCTTTCATTTTGTCTTTTGGAGACTGATGGACCAGACAGATCAGAGTCCTGCTCTCTGAGCAGCAAGGTTTCTGGGAAAGTGACAGAGTAGGATAGTAGGCCAAGAAATGCAAAATTCAAGGCCAGACTGGGTGAAGAATAACGAACGGAGAGGAGCATCGGAGAACCTGAAATTTAAAGGCAAAAAGCAAAAAAAAAAGAAAAAAAAAAAGAAGTTACATGTCCTGTTGACTGAGAGATGTCGGTTTCCACAGAGGTAAAGTAAATGAGCTTTCCGTGATGTTTTGTGTGATGTGATGATCAGATTATATTGTTGTTACTTCATATTTACAAAATATGATAAAAGAAAATATAAAAATGATCTCAATTATGAAAAAAAGGTTTCATGATTAATCATAATGATTATCCCATAAAACAATCAACAGATCAAAAGATGTAATATATAAATGAGGAAGATGATTAACTATTAAAAACAAGATCTCAGAATGAAAAGGAAAAAATCTCACTGTTAAAATATCTCCAGAAGGCGTTCATATTAATCCGTACCGCAAAGGTACTAGTTAGAACAAAGGATCTGTTTCACAGTTAGTCTGTGAAGATGTCTTTATTTTGATATTTTTATTTTGTATTTATACGTCTTATAAATAAAATCTTCAACCCCAAATCAGTAAAAGTCGGGGCAGTATATAAAATCAAGATTAAAACTGAAAACAGTGATGAGTAAACCATCTTTGTCCTGTATGACACTGAACAGAACACAGTAGCACATTATTTGATGTGATACCTCATCAGTTTCAAAATAAACTCTCACTTCAATCCTGACTCTACAACACATTCCAACACAGGTTGGTTCGGCTGCATTTCAGGGCCAGTGATGAGGTGAAACAGTGAAATGATGGCTCCTTGTGAACCAGGTGATGTCAACAGGTGACTGCAGGCCGAGCCCTTTAGGAGCAAAGATGGGCCAAGGACCGCCAGTTTACCAACATACCTCATCACTGGCCCTGAATTGCAAATGTGTGTTGCAGCATCAGGATTGAAGTGGGATTTTATTATGAACAGAGAATAAAACTGATGGTGTCACATCAAATAATGAGCTGATGTGTTGTTTTCAGTGTCCTACAGGACACAGATGGTTTACTCATCACTGTTTACAGTTTTAATTTTGCTTTTACACACTGTCTCAACTCTTTCTGATTTGGGGTTGTATTTTAAATAAAAGCTCAATGGGATCTTTGTACATCATTACACAATCTAAAAAGATCTCATAACTATGAGATTACCACAAGGACGTTATCTCATAAATACTGTTTCTCTCACAGTTACAAAGTATTAGAATCTTTGTCATATGATGAACAATCTTACAGAGGAGATATTTATCACACAATGCTTCACTAAGTACGAGCTGTTCAGTCCTAATAATGAGCCAACCTGAGTGTTCACCCTGTTTCCTTTCCTTACTGCCATGAGTCTTCGTGTTTCTCTTTCTTCAGGTGTGTTCACACTATAACAGAGGCTCAGGTCCTTACGGCTGCTGCACCTTCAAGAGCACCTGCACCAAAGTCCACTTGTGTCAGCACTTTGTTCAGGGCGACTGTATGTTCGGACACAAGTGTAAACGACAACATGCCATCGACGAACACGGCCGCCGTGTGCTGGAGGAGCGAGGACTGAGTGGAGACATCATCCACCGTCTGCCCTTTGTCTACAGGAATAAACACTACCTCACTGCGGCCACAGCCTCCACACTCACAGGTGACAATACCACCTGTTCACTGATTATTCACCATGTTGTCTTTTGGAAGGGGTGGGAAAAAAACAAAAGTGTAAAGAAATAAACAAAGACAGGGAGGGTATTGCAGTGCGTCCACCCCATACCACTGGTGCTGGAGTGAGAATGAGATCAGGTCACCACCAGGAAGCAACTCAGAACGATAAGGTCAGCCAGGAGCGCTGACTAGAGTTACTGTTCAGCTTTAAACCAAACACCCAAACCTGATTTCATGTGATAAACACCTGGGGCGAAAGTGCAGAAATAAGCTCAGAAGGACATTATGGTTCTGGGGGTCAAAATTGGTCCTGACATGCACAAATGATATTTAATGCACCTTCAGGGCAGATGTCCTTTTGATTCAGTTATCCATCCTAAAACCACTGAAGTCAACATGGGTTTTTGTGTTTGTGTCAGAGAAAAGTCCAGATTTTTCAACTAAACCTGCTGTTCATTTGGACGAGACGGACATCCTTTGTCTGCACTTCATCAGAAACAGCTGCAAGTTCCGCAGTGAGTGTATTTCTTTAGCTCTGTCAGAGGCTCTTATTCTGAAAGCAAAGATGGGACTAGCGCACACCTGAGGTCACATGATCGAGATTTCTCTTAAGATCAGTTCTGTGCAGCTTCTTTTAAATTCCACCAGATGGCGGCAAAGTTTAGACTCGTGTCTGTAGCATGTTTACATGGTTACATTCATGCATTGTGCTGCCTTAATGTGTTCACATGCACCATGAAACACACCTTCAAATGTGTTGAAAACAATGAAATTAATGCACAGATGAAGTAAAGGAACTGCAAAACATGTGAACAGAAGAGCAAAGCTTGAGCTCTTCTCAGCAGTTATACTGACTGTTAAGTAGTAAACTGTTGATGCTGACCTCTGGACTTGTGCCATTTCTCTTTTTTTAACTTAACATAAAAAATTAACTCTTTAGGAAGGCACTTATACGTTTAATTTGTTGTTCCTCACACACAGATCTGTTGGGGCAACTTTCATTCATTTTTTCTGTTGTGACCTTAAAAACCAAATGCTTTATATGTGAAATTTGTGTTTTGTCATTACCGTGGTAACTTGTCAATGTTTTACTCCAAAGAAGTTTTAGGAAAGAATCCTCTTTGTGGTTTATGTATCTGACAGCAGATGTGTTGATATAGCAGAGGATTAAAAGCAGTAGTTTTTAAATAGGAGTCTGGTTCAAGTCTTTGCAGTTTAAACTCTTGCATTTTTGTTGTGACGTAGTTTTTCCTCTCTCTGTGTAGACGAGTGCCACCAAGTTCACTTCCACCTGCCCTACAAGTGGGAGGTGCTTGTTGACGAGACCTGGGTGAAGTTGCAGCACATGGAGGATATTGAGCGGGATTTCTGTGACCCGTCTAAGTCACAGAGGTCAGAGGTCATGTCTCACCTGTGTTCATGTTTAAGGTTCATCTGTTGTTGTTGAGCCACAGCTGAAACATTTGTCTTTGTAGCTCTGGTGATCGACCCGTTGACTTCTTGACAATGACTTGGGAGTTGCGGCATGTTCGCCGTCTCTCCACAGTTTCCTCAGTAAGAAAGCCACCTCACTACATGCTGACGACAGAATGGCTGTGGTATTACAAGGTGGATCAGGAGAAGTGGATAGAGTATGGACAGCCGGTGAGTCAGACCCTGGGTGAAGTTTAAGTATGAGGGTTGGGAGGTTTAGAGGAAGGTGGCTGGCTGCAGAGGTCTGAGGATTGGCCCTTGAGGTTTGAAGACTGGTTGCAGTGGTCTGGGGCCTAGGTGCAGGGGTCAGTTTTAACCTAAATGATGAAGGACTCTGGGGTCATAATGTTTGCATATTAGCATGCTAATCCGTCTGTGTGTTCTTGCTTCCCTCAGGATGACAGACAGCGCACCACATCAGTGACATCCAGGATTCTGGAGGAGAGGTTTCTAGCTGACAGAACAGCTGATGTCAAAGTGGTGAAAGGCAAGAGGGAGTACATCATCAGCTTCAAAGGTACCCGCCGATCATCAACCGATTTCAGACAAAGGGGAGTGTCAATTCGTAACAGCCTTCTGTGACGGATACGCTCGTGTAATTTTGCTTATAGCTCCACCAGGGAGCCAGATTCTTCTTCTGTGTTTTAATTTTGTGATGCTCGCCGTCTTCCTCTCTGCAGATATGTACCAGAGGAACCTCAACAACAACACCAAGAGGAAAGTCCAGCGTCGTCCTCGCTTTGTCTCCGTGGCCCAGGTGGAGAAACAGGCCTCAAAAGAAAAGCCATGAACTGTTGTGGTCCTGTCTGACTTGACTGGACCTGAGTGAATGTTTTATCGTTTTTTTTTTTACTCATCACTCCACTGTTTGCTCCTTGGACTTTAACTGTTTCTATAAAAATGCTTCTGACATGGACCAGCCTGTTACTGTAGACCTGATGGGTTTTAAGTAAGAGACCTTAGTTTTTATACAGACTGTAGTTTACAGTGCCTTGCGAAAGTATTCGGCCCCCTTGAACTTTGCGACCTTTTGCCACATTTCAGGCTTCAAACATAAAGATATAAAACTGTAATTTTTTGTGAAGAATCAACAACAAGTGGGACACAATCATGAAGTGGAACGAAATTTATTGGATATTTCAAACGTTTTTAACAAATAAAAAAGGAACACACCAGGCAGGTCCGAGATACTGTTGTGGAGAAGTTTAAAGCCGGATTTGGATACAAAAAGATTTCCCAAGCTTTAAACATCCCAAGGAGCACTGTGCAAGTGATAATATTGAAATGGAAGGAGTATCAGACCACTGCAAATCTACCAAGACCTGGCCGTCCCTCTAAACTTTCAGCTCATACAAGGAGAAGACTGATCAGAGATGCAGCCAAGAGGCCCATGATCACTCTGGATGAACTGCAGAGATCTACAGCTGAGGTGGGAGACTCTGTCCATAGGACAACAATCAGTCGTATACTGCACAAATCTGGCCTTTATGGAAGAGTGGCAAGAAGAAAGCCATTTCTTAAAGATATCCATAAAAAGTGTCGTTTAAAGTTTGCCACAAGCCACCTGGGAGACACACCAAACATGTGGAAGAAGGTGCTCTGGTCAGATGAAACCAAAATCGAACTTTTTGGCAACAATGCAAAACGTTATGTTTGGCGTAAAAGCAACACAGCTCATCACCCTGAACACACCATCCCCACTGTCAAACATGGTGGTGGCAGCATCCTGGTTTGGGCCTGCTTTTCTTCAGCAGGGACAGGGAAGATGGTTAAAATTGATGGGAAGATGGATGGAGCCAAATACAGGACCATTCTGGAAGGAAACCTGATGGTGTCTGCAAAAGACCTGAGACTGGGACGGAGATTTGTCTTCCAACAAGACAATGATCCAAAACATAAAGCAAAATCTACATTGGAATGGTTCACAAATAAACATATCCAGGTGTTAGAATGGCCAAGTCAAAGTCCAGACCTGAATCCAATCGAGAATCTGTGGGAAGAACTGAAAACTGCTGTTCACAAACGCTCTCCATCCAACCTCACTGAGCTCGAGCTGTTTTGCAAGGCGGAATGGGCAAAAATTTCAGTCTCTTGATGTGCAAAACTGATAGAGACATACCCCAAGTGACTTACAGCTGTAATCGCAGCAAAAGGTGGCGCTACAAAGTATTAACTTAAGGGGGCTGAATAATTTTGCACGGCCAATTTTTCAGTTTTTTATTTGTTAAAAACGTTTGAAATATCCAATAAATTTCGTTCCACTTCATGATTGTGTCCCACTTGTTGTTGATTCTTCACAAAAAATTACAGTTTTATATCTTTATGTTTGAAGCCTGAAATGTGGCAAAAGGTCGCAAAGTTCAAGGGGGCCGAATACTTTCGCAAGGCACTGTATATTTGCTGGACTTAATGTGGTGGAAGTCAGACACATTAAATAGACTTTATTCATAGTTTGAGCAGTTGTTGTTTGTTACACGATTTTTCACTACTTTGGGACTGTATGTGGTCGTGTGGGGGAAGACGCAGCGACCGCCGGTTGGATTTACCGACCTTGGAGCTACTTGAAAGGGAGCGATATTTCCACTACTCGGTGGAACTTAACAGTAAGTTTAAAAAGCACATTGCGTGTCTGTTAAGGCCTTGTTTCCGTAACATTAGAGAATTGTTGTAAGGCTGGAGAAGTTACTATGTATTATGCCAGTTAAAATATGGGGTTTCTGAACTACCCACTTTGTTTAGTGTTACACATCTCTTCATCAGTACATATACCATTGTTTACCTGTCTATGGAGGAGACCTTCACATTAATTAATGCTGTCCTGATTTGTTGTGCTGTCCACTTGCTACACAACACCAGCAACAGAAGTTGTGCGCATTCATGAACTGTCCTCGTTTTAAGGAAGAGGCTGTCTGGCTCTCTGATTCTGAAATGATTACAAACTATTTGGAATTATGAGGGGTGCCAAACTAATCTAGAGGTACCCAAGATTAAACATTAAATGGCTGGAAACGAGTAAAATGAGCAGCCATGGGAACTTTAATGAAAGTCTGTTTTTCTGTCTCCACCCACAGCCCAAGTGATTTTGAGCTGCTCCTCCACACTTTAGTCAGACCTCATTTTGGATGGAAGTGTTTTAGTCACATTCTAGTTGCTTGTCTTTATTAACTTTTGTCCATAACCGATTGCTGGGTCTCTCTTGGAGGACACGTAGAGTTACTCTGAGAGTTTCTTTGTATGTTTAGATGCTGGACTGACGACATTAATCCTGAGCTTACTGTTTCCCTGGGACAGAGACAAAATGTTACTGAACCTAAGATGCTTCTTATTATCAGAGACATGCGCTTCTGAACAGATGTTGCTGGCTGCTGGAGGAAGCAGAACCAATGTGAAAAAATATAAGGTATAGGTAGGTAGGTCTTTATTGATCAGGCAATGGGGAAATTCCAGCAGCAAAAGAGAGCAAGTAACAAAACACCATAAGAACAAACACAGCACACGTATCTTGAGAAACAGATTCCAAAGTACCTAAGACCAAACAGAATATAGTTAGTTTAACTTACATTTTTAGATTCTGGCATAAATTTGAGAAACTTACTTTTTTGCTTTGAAACTTCAGGACTGCAGAACTGATCCGAGCCCAGCTCAGCTAAAACCTCTCTGTGTAAGCAGAAAGAAAACAAGATGTCGTTTGTATTGTAGACTAAATGATGCGGAGCAGAAGCAGCAGGCAGAGCGGAACTGGACCGGTACCAAGACCCTACATGCCCTGAATCTGACGAATCCAGGTCCTCGGGGGAGGAGGCTTTACCCCTTACCCTCCACATGAGGTGGGGACGTAGAAGACTGCGGACAGAGAGGAGGAGGAAGGCTGATTCTGCGGGGACTCTCTGCCTCCGCCTTCCCCGTGCAGGGAGCGCGCTGCGCGGCTGTGGAGAGCCGTGACGCGCCCGAGCTGCATCTCCAGGATGGCAGGTAGGTCTCCTCTGTGAGTCAGGATAAAACACGTCCTGTGAGCCTAGCGCGGCTCGGCTCGGCTTCTTCTCAATGAAAAGCTGTTATTTTACTAGGGAGTGTCAATGAGGCGTTGGGGTGGGCCGCTGCGGTTCTGATCCACATCGCCGGTGTTCGGTGTTTTAGCGGAATGGAGGCTCCAGCTGCGGCGGTCAGCACGATCGCAGCCGCCTGCACAGATCACATAAAGAAGGGAGGAGGTTCAGGATGAGTGTGCTCATCAGAAACACTCGGTTCAGTACAGGATCCGTGTCGGTATCACGTCAGTATCACCGACGCCGGACCGGATAATTAGGACAGGGACGCTGTGCAGCTCTAACCTCTGGACGGTGACTGTAGACTGGATTAAAGCAGCCGTTCTGCCCGGTGTGTCTGCGCAAGCGAGGCGTGGAGATGGAGGGACAGGCCGGGGATGGTAGAGGGTTTTTTGTCCGATAATGGGATCAGTGTGAGGGGAGGCCGAGCCGAACCAGACCAGCAGGGGTGTGATCGGCCCGGAATCCGCGCTGCATCCAGCAAGACAGGAACAAACCCGCACAGGGCCCGAGCAGAGTGAGAGGACATTACTGGTCTATGAAAAATCTAGTAGTAACGTCGGACAGGCCCCCACAGTGGATCCATTGATCACAGCATCAGGTCAGTGGTTCTCAACCTGGGGGCGGGAGCCCACAAAGATGCCTCGAAAAAAAGCAAAAGGACGTGTTAAGCTATAGTGCTGGTTTTATCTGATGCTTGTGTGATATGAGAGGCTTTTGTGTAAAGTTCTGAAAACATGTAAAAATGCTAAAACAACCAGAGGAGACACTGAACTGCACCGTCAGGGGTCAACTGGAGGCTCCGCTTCATCATACAGGGTCAACAGCTTCACAGATGGGGCCCTAAATGTCCACAGCCGGTTTGTGCTTCTGTCACAGGAAAGTGAACCTCTAAACGCCAGAGCTCAGGAAACTGTTTCTATCACTAATCAAATTGTATCTTAAGTCTCTGAGCTGGTAAGGAACTAAGTAGCCCACATTTTCTCCACTACTATGTTTAAGTACAGTGCTGAGGTACTTGTACTTTACTTGAGTATTTTTATTTTCTTTTACTTTATATTTTCACTAAACATTTTACTTTTACTGCTCTACATTAACCTGACAGTGGTTACTTTGAAGATGTATAATATTAAAACAAAATGCAGTCAACTGGCTTATTATTTTAGATCAGTTTTCATTAACTTTTGTCTATAAAACATCACAAATCAGTGCTTATGGATGTCACCAGGTGATGTCTTGAAATGTTTGAACATCAGATTTCACTATATTAATGTAACTGCAGCCAAATCGTCATCTGAGCAGCTGAAGATTTCTTTCATTTATTCTTGAAAACCTGACTGAAATCCACTTTTCAGATAGTTGCTGATTCATTGTCTGCCATTTAAGTAATTGGTTAGCTGAGTAATTGTTGCAGCTTCACATTAAAGCTGTTTGAAGGCCACAACATGCTAACCCCTGGACACAGGGACACAGCTCATCCTCTCACTCTAAGGTGGGATATCTGAAACCTATTAAAGCTTCAAACACTGCTTGAAGTTTTGAGGCAGAGATATTCACTCAGTAATACCATTAACCTGCGAACAGAGTTTCCTGCAGACCTCCCGCTGACATGTCACTAATCCAGGACAAGACCTCAGATCCTCCCAAAACAATACCAGCCTGCAGTTATAGCCGGCTCCCTCCTTATACATTCAGATGTTACTCTACTGAGAAACCTTTAGAAGCCACTTTGGCTCTTTGACAAAGTGTTAGGTTTGGTCTGAAATAACCCCTAAAAGCTGTGACACTGGCCACATATGACCAGGGTTTTAGTGCACAGTGTTTAGCTGACATTTAACTTCCTAGGACCGGACACCCAGCTGATAAAAGTTGGAATAAGAAGATAATCAACTAATTTATTTAGAGTATTTTCTGATACAGTTTGAGTCATCAATTTGGTTTTAATAATTAATCATCACTACTCTTGAGATGTTAACCACATTTAAAATAACTGCCTTTTAGTTTATGTAATAACCATAATATGCACCTTTAAACAACCCTTAATATTGTTTCTAACACAGTTATAGTTGACAAGTTAATGGTAAGTCAGTAAAGAGAGTTCAAAAGTTTATCATTTGTAGATTTACAACACAGCAGCAAGCAATAAAGCAGAATCTAAAAATCATTAACAAATAAATTGATTGTAGCCCATTTCAGTTATTAGTGACACTTTTGATGCTAAAGCCCTGTATTTTACTTAAAAGCAGTAGTTTCACTTGTACCAGGATTTCCTTAGTGGTATGTTACTGCCGTACCTCTACTGAAGTAAAAGTAGAGGTACAGTAAACGTTCCACCGCCGACTGTTTTTATTTCTCAACAGTAAACGTGGACATGGGCTCGTTGTTTATTAATATAAAGGATATGAATTGTGATTAGGGTGGCAGAGAAATGTATTGGCTTATCACTTGTCACCAATGATCTTCTCCTAGCCTCGGACAAAGGACTTGTCTCCATGCTTGTCCTCTTAGATCTCAGTGCTGCTTTTGACACCACTGATCACAGCATCTTACTGCAGAGACTTCAACATGTTATTGGGATTAAAGGAACTGCGCTAAGTTGGTTCAAATCTTATTTATCAGAAAGATTTCAATTTGTTCATGTTAATGACGAATGTTCCACACAAACTGAAGTTAGTCACAGCGTTCCACAGGGCTCTGTGTTAGGTCCAATTCTCTTCACTTTATACATGCTCCCTTTAGGCAATATTATCAGGAAGCACAACATAAATTTCCATTGCTAGGCAGATGATACTCAGTTATATTTATCTATGAAGCCAAATGAATCAGATCAGCTGGTCAAACTTCAAGCATGTCTTAAAGACATAAAGGCCTGCATGACCTGCACCTTCTTACTTCTAAACTCTGACAAAACTGAAGTTATTGTGCTTGGGCCTGAAAACCTTAGAAATCTGCTGTCTAATCATATAGTTACTTTAGATGACATAGCTCTTGCCTCCAGTACTACTGTGAGGAACCTTGGAGTCATCTTTGATCAGAATATGTCCTTTAAATCACACAAAATCCAAGTCTCTAGATCTGCCTTCTTTCACCTGCGCAATATTGCAAAAATCAGGAGCATCCTGTCTCAAAGTGATGCTGAAAAACTGGTCCATGCATTTGTTACTTCCAGGCTGGACTACTGTAACTCTTTACTATCAGGATGTCCCAATAATTCCCTAAAAAGCCTCCAGTTAATCCAAAATGCTGCAGCCAGAGGACTGACAGGAACGAGCAAGAGAGATCATATCTCTCCCATATTAGCTTCTCTCCACTGGCTCCCTGTAAAATTCAGAACAGAATTTAAAATCCTTCTCCTAACATACAAAGCCCTTAATGACAAGGCTCCATCGTATCTTAAAGACCTCGTAGAGCCGTATCATCCTAACAGAGCACTGCGCTCTCAGAGTGCAGGTTTACTTGTGGTTCCTAGAGTCCACAGAAGCAGAATGGGAGGCAGAGCCTTTAGCTATCAAGCATCTCTCCTATGGAACCAACTCCCAGTCTCAGTTCAGGAGGCGGACACCCTCTCTACCTTTAAGATTAGACTTAAGACGTTCCTGTTTGATAAAGCTTATAGTTAGGGCTGGATCAGGTGACCCTGAGCCTTCCCTTAGTTATGCTGCTATAGGCCTAGGCTGCTGGGGGGCCCCATGATGCTCTGAGTTTCTTTCCCCTCCCCTCCCCTCTCCTCTCCTTTCTCTCCCTATGCTTCTATATGCCACCATTACACATCACTAACTGTGTGTCTCCTCTCTCCCGTAGTGTGTCCTCTCTCTCTCCCTGTACCCACCAAGAGCCGGGGTCTGTCGGAGGTTTCTTCCGTTAACGGGAGTTTTTCCTCCCCACTGTCGCCAAGTGGTTGCTCAAGGGGGATTTGTTGGGTTTTCCCTATGTAATAATATTGATAACAGTAAGGTCTAGACCTTACTTTGTAAAGTGTCCTGAGATGACTTTTGTTGTGATTTGGCGCTATACAAATAAAATTTGATTTGATTTGATTTGACTACTCTCTTCCCCCGCCCCGGGACATTTATATTGACCGACTCCGTAAAAAGGCCAGATAAATTTCCTTGGATAATACTCACCCTTGGTATGGTCTGTTTACCTTATTGCCCTCTGGAAAGAGATACAAACTGATCAAATCCAGAACTAATAGATTTAAAAATTGTTTCTATCCTCAAGCTGTTAAAATAACTTCTATTCCATTGCATTTGCACTCATAAATACCTCATTATTATTTCTGGGTAAGAAGTGCTGAAACCCATCATTATAAGCTATAATGCTGTTATTACAGGGACCTTGCTAATATAGTAACATTTACATCAAGGTCATTATTTGTATGTAATTACCTTTGCTAGATGCCTGATGGGGGTATTATTGAGTGCGCAATAATTAGTATGGTTTATATTGTTGCTATCATAGGTATAGCCATAAGAATGTTATCATCTGGATATACAGTAATTATCTACTGTATATTATTACAGTGAGATTTTTTATATAGCCTTTTATGTAGTGTTATTTATTGTGTGTTATCATTTTGTAATTTTGGTATTTTGCCAATGTACGAGAGGGTTGATAAACGTAATTTTATTGTTGTCACCAAGCAATAATAATAAACATTCTTCTTCTTCTTCTTCTATTAAATTGTAAGTGAACTTCTTCTGGAAATAATCATTGTGTCTGCAGCTCCCATATTTACAAGGACTCTCTACTCTTCTTCTATGGTTTTCAGGTCCTCCTGACAGGCCCACAGCACTCTGTACCGGGCTCACACTGGTGACCCTCTGAGGACAATGAACACTGTGATCCTACTGGACCCTGGCTTCCAGACTAGGACCAGGATGGACCCCAGAACCTCAGTGTGCAGGCAAACACTCAGTGTGACCCTGCTGGTAGCCAGCATGCTGGTTTCCATGGTGACCTCAAGTTCACCTGCTGCAGGTAAGCTGAATTTATGACTTTAAAGGAGCAGTCCACAGATTTTTACTAAATGTTCATTTCAGTAAGTTGCCAGTAGCATGGAGGATTGCCATTACGTAGCTGACCCCTGACCTTTAACCTGTGACCTACCCATGGAAAAGAGGAAGTGAAAGGCAGATGTCCTTATAAGGAGATGCAATGAATAACTGTGGTTGCTGGCTTCATTGTGACTGAGGCAGGAGGAAATCAGATTCTCAGTATTTATCCATCTTCCCACTGTTACCAAGGCAGCCTGCCAACACACACACACACACACACACACACACACACACACACACCTGAGATACAAATACAGTGGTGTGAAAAAGTGTTTGCCCCCTTACTGATTTCTTATCTTTTTGCATGTTTGTCACACTGTAATGTTTCAGATCGTCAAACAAATTTATATATTAGTCAAAGATAACACAAGTAAACACATCATGCAGTTTTTAAATGAAGGTTTTTATTATTAAGGGAAAACAAAATCCAAAACTATAGAGCCCTGTGTGAACAAGTGTTTGCCCCCCTGTCAAAACACTGGTTTATCGCACCTGAGTTCAATTTCTCTTGCCACACCTGTTCGCAATCAAGAAATCACTTAAATAGGACCTGCCTGACAAAGTGAAGTAGACCAAAAGATCCTCAAAAGCTAGACATCATGCCGAGATCCAAAGAAATTCAAAAACAAATGAGAAAGAGAATAATGGAGCTCTATCAGTCCGGAAAAGGTTATAAAGCCATTTCTAAAGCTTGGGGACTGCAGCGAACCACAGTGAGAGCCATTATCCACAAATGGCGAAAACATGGAACAGTGGAGAACCTTCCCAGGAGTGGCCAGCCGACCAAAATTACCCCAAGAGCGCAGCGACAACTCATCCAAGAGGTCACAAAAGACCCCACAACAACATCCAAAGAACTGCAGGCCTCACTTGCCTCAGTTAAGCTGAGTGTTCATGACTCCACCATAAGAAAGAGACTGGGCAAAAATGGTTTGCATGGCAGAGTTCCAAGACGAAAACCACTGCTGAGCAAAAAGAACATAAAGGCTCGTCTCAGTTTTGCCAGAAAACATCTTGATGATCCCCAAGACTTTTGGGATAATACTCTGTGGACAGACGAGACAAAAGTTGAACTTTTTGGAAGGTGTGTGTCCCATTATGTGTGGCGTAAAAGTAACACCGCATTTCAGAAAAAGAACATCATACCAACAGTAAAATATGGTGGTGGTAGTGGGATGGTCTGGGGCTGTTTTGCTGCTTCAGGCCCTGGAAGACATGCTGTGATAAGTGGAACCATGAATTCTGCTGTGTACCAAAATATCCTGAACTGCAGTCCCCAAGCTTTAGAAATGGCTTTATAACCTTTTCCGGACTGATAGAGCTCCATTATTCTCTTTCTCATTTGTTTTTGAATTTCTTTGGATCTCGGCATGATGTCTAGCTTTTGAGGATCTTTTGGTCTACTTCACTTTGTCAGGCAGGTCCTATTTAAGTGATTTCTTGATTGCGAACAGGTGTGGCAAGAGAAATTGAACTCAGGTGCGATAAACCAGTGTTTTGACAGGGGGGCAAACACTTGTTCACACAGGGCTCTATAGTTTTGGATTTTGTTTTCCCTTAATAATAAAAACCTTCATTTAAAAACTGCATGATGTGTTTACTTGTGTTATCTTTGACTAATATATAAATTTGTTTGACGATCTGAAACATTACAGTGTGACAAACATGCAAAAAGATAAGAAATCAGTAAGGGGGCAAACACTTTTTCACACCACTGTAAATACTCATGCTATTGTATTCAAATAATTTACTTTATGTCACAGTTTTTATTGAATCTCTGTTCAAATCATTTGAGTATAAGAACAGAGAATAACAAGTGAAACAAGTTCATGTATTTTTACAAATAAACACAAAACTGCCCAGTATCAGAGCTGAGTTTTCATTACAACTGAAAAGTGATGAAGAGTGTTAATAAAATCCTAAAATGTATCTTTTATAACAAATCTGTCTGTGTCTGTCCATCCCTCCTCCTCTCTCTCTCTGGGGTTTGAGGGCGTCGTCACCTGAATACCAATGACTCGTCTCCATTCGGCACGTGATGTTGCCACAAAGCTCAGCATCACCATGGCAACGAGGCCAGCAGCAGATGAGAGAGTTTAAAAAACCTGCAGAGGGAAACCAGGCCAGGACTGTTTTCACACTAATACCACTGACACTATAATGTTCATCTGGAACTATATACAATAATTTATAGTGTGTGTGTGTGTGTGTGTGTTGCAGAATTAAGTCTCATTTTTAAAATGTGGAGATTTTATTTATTTATTTGTAATTCAGGTGTTCCGATAGATGAAAAGTAGATTGTAACACAAGAAAACGTATAATAGTGAATCAGTAAAACTGGTCTGGGCACACAGAGCAGCTACTCCGGTTAAAACAAGTCAAGCCGCTGAATTCAGGAGAAAAAAGACAAAAAGGATGCAAAGTGAAAATGAAATATTAAAACATTAAACATGAGAGTAAACTTCATAAAACAATAAATATTTGTTCTTGGAACTATATGTACAAAAGAGGAAATATTAATCAGTCATTTTAATTATTCAATCAAAACATGCTGTGTCTGACTGAGACCAACCTTAGCACTTGGACTTTAGTTAGGGTCCTCAGGTTTGGTCAGTGTCCTCTGTGTCAGTCAGGGTCCTCAGGTTTGGTCAGTGTCCTCTATGTCAGTCAGGGTCCTCAGGTTTGGTCAGGGCCTGGACCGCTGGTCAGGAACAGTCAAACTTGTTATTGAACAATAAACACAAAAGTCTTATGTCTCACAGGTGTGCTGGACTTCAACAGGATGACAGAGTCTTCATCATATTCTTCATCACCCTCCTACTCCTCCTCCTCGTTCCTTTCTATACCCCCAGCCCCCAGCCCACCGTCAGACTCTGGTTACCATCCTAACAGTGGTGGCACAGGCTTGGCAGAGGATTCGGACACTGGTGCTCAAGGGATCCACCTCCTTCTGAGACCCCCCGACCTCCTATCTCCAAGCCTCCCCCCACATACGCAGCCCACCCTCACCCCTCCTCCCCGTTGGGAGCAGGGTCCCTCCCTGGAAGAGGCCTGGGGGTCTGGAGACTACCTGGAGACTCTGTCATTCATGGTGCCTGATGGTGAGGATCTGACCCTGGCCACGCCACTGCCTAGCCACCCCTATGACGTAGATGCAGATGGGGACTGGGTCTCCTATGACACTGCCTTCCCTGCTCGTCCCACCCTCTCCCTGTCCTCCCACCTTCCACTTTCACCCTCTTCCTCCACTCCCGTTATCCCCCTGCACACTCACCCCACCCATCCAGATGTCTTCCCCACCTGGGACGAGGACTACGACCTGGAGGACTTGATGCCTCTGGAGCCAACGGAGCTGCTGCTGCCAGACATGAACAGCCTGGAGTACTACACCAATGTATTGGCCCGGGAGAGGGAGAGGGAGAGGGCGAGGGCAAAAGACCAGGAGCGGGTCGATTGGACAGATTCCAAAGCCCCCATCACACCTACAACAACCAAAACTCTCCTTCATCCTCCAGCCCCATCGCCGAGCTCCAGCCCTTCTACAGAACAGGAGCCCAAGCATCCTCCTGCAGGGCCCACCCCTCCTCTCTCCCTCTCACCTACCCTCATAGGCGAGGTGAAACCACCGGCTCCTTCATCCACCCTCAAACCCCCCTCTACACCTCTTCCTCCTGCTCCAAAACCCAAAAACTACATCCCAGACCTGGGCAGACAACCTCTCCATCCCCCTTCCAACACCACTGGCCAGGTGCCTCCCCCTCCCCTGCTGGGACCACCTACCCGCCCTGACAGACCAGAGAGGCCTTCAGAGGTCACAGAGAAGCCAGTGAAGGCTACACCCACCCAGACTACCCCCACCACTAAGGTGTCCACAACAACAACAACCACCACCACCATCACTCAGATCACAGCCATCAGCCTGACCAGAGCCCCCCCAGTCACCACACCCAGAGTGGCCCAGACCCCACTCACCAGACAGTACCTGTGTAACGTCACCAAGCCGGAGATGTACCTGGTCAGAGTAGGTAAGACCACCGAGGGTCAGGTGACAGGACCACCAGGTATTTTGTCACACGATAAGTTTCTAAAACATATTCATTGTTTTTAATCAAGAATGTCTCTATTAGGTTGCAACACAGCTCGGCTGTACTTAGACTCAGGTGTACTTAGCCAGACCTCAATACAGCTGGGTATTTATTTAGTACTTAAGGCCAGTGTGACTATTTGATTAAGTAAAAACTAACTCTTTAGGCTCAGATGCACTTGCATCCATCCAGCTGCACTTGGACTTAGCTGAGCTAACTTAGCAGAACTGGGTGCTTACTTTGTGATTCAGTGCAGTTTAACTGACACTGTTTTTTAGCTTTGTTAGCAAATACACGTCAGCTGATCTGTGTGATGTTATTTCTCTTGCAGTCAGTTCCAGAGGTTCATCGGCAGGTTTTAGTCAGGTCAGAGAGCTTCTGAAGAGAGAGTTCAACCACTCCGTCGAGCTACAGGTACAAACATTATGACACAGGTATCACTGGCTGCTCCTTGACAAATCAGTTCAACACATTTTTCACTTTTAAATTTAATCAGTTTCACTTTGCTGCTGTAAGATTTTATGCCATGGATCAACAGTTAATTGATTTTACTTTACGGCTGAGTATGTGATGACATCATTCACAGTACCTTGCTTTGCTTTTCGAGTTTGAATATGGACTGATTTTTCTCACCTGCAGTTGTGAGCCATATTTAAAGCCATACCTGTGAACGCACCTTGAACGTCTCTGTTTCCTCTTCAGTTCCTGAGAACCCCATCCAGTTTTGCATTTCGTGTTGTGTCCGGACCATTGATCTTCACTGCTATATCTGTCATCAACGCCCTCCGCCAACCACCACGCTCTTTTGGCCCGGTTCCCACTGTGTCACCGCTCTACACCGTACCTGACCTCAGGTATCAGATCCATTCTGTCCTGCAGTTTGTCCCCACCGTTGTTGACATTCGAGTCTGCAACTTCAGCGAAAGGGTGGAGAGAGGGCTGGTCATGGCCTTAGCAGAGACACAGAGTCGATCACAGGAGGCAGGAAACGTAACTGTACAGGCGAGTCTGTTACCTGTTCTCTGATAGCCTTGAATTCCTCCTGCTTGTTTCTAAGGCCTCATGTTATTCTCACTTTTCACGTTCAGTGTCACATGATCTAAATCATGATCCAGAGGTTTTTATCTCTAAACACAGCTGTTGAACATCACTCTGGGTGTGGCCCGGCCAGAGGTGGGGCAGAAAGTTCCCGTTGACATCACCTTTGTGGTGCATGATGCTCAGGGTTACCTGCTGGGATCAGAGGTCAGCGAACACCTGAGGAAACTCAGCTTGGTCGAGTTCAGCTTCTATGTGGGATTTCCTGCCCTGCAGATTGCAGAACGTACGACAGATGAGTTTTAGCACACTTTTAATATGTATTTAACCCAAACTGAATTGTGTGTGTGTGGTAAAGGTGTCTTAAAAACAGCAATAAACATTTTAAATGTGTATTTAAAATGTATTAATCCTGCCCTAATAAGATTGTTTTATATGTATGTATATATATATATATATTAGATGTGGGTAAAATGCATTATTGCATGTGTGCTAAACATTTGTTAATTGTTCATAAACTGCACTGAACCTGTGCTCAACATATGCTGAATTTGTTCAAACATGCATTAAAACTTTATTAAATACTGTATGGGTTAAATGGTTGTTAAGTACAAGTTGAATGTGTGTTTTTGTTCACAGCCTTCCACTACCCTGAGCTGAACACATCTCACCACCTGCGCTCCACCTGGGTCCGTACAGGTGAGAACACATCTTGCTTTCTTAGTTTCAAGCTATGCATATACAGTAGTTCATTTTTACTGGAGCTTGCACGGCGATAGAGCGGTTGTGTCTTTTTTAATCATTCCCTTGGACTTAGAAACCTGAGACACACATCTGAAGTATTTTAACAACACATTTCGCATTGCGTGTGTGTCTGTGTTAGTCCTGTTGGGAGTGCAGGAGCAGCTGCTGGCTGAGAGAAGTTTCAAAGCTCGTGTGGAGAGACGTCTGGCTCTGCTGCTGGAGGAGGGACTGCAGGAGTCCAGCAGGAGGCGCTGGAGGAGAGCTACGACTGTGGGGAACAGCAGTCTGCAGGTAGACACAGCACAGGTAGCCATAGTCAAAGCAAGTATTTTTACACAGCACATTTTCACATGCAACTGCAATTCAGAGTGCTTAACATGATGCATATAGATGGATAAAACATCAGAATGCAAATTAGATCAAACATGAAAGTATACGTAGCAACGCGTCTGAGTAGATACCTAGTACTTTTAGTACAGCTGTAGCAGAGGCAGGATTCTCACTCTTTCATTAAATTTTGTACCCCTTTTACTTCAGTCTTCCCAAAACAAACCTCTGAGTAATTTAAGATCAGAGGCGAGCATACTTTCTTCTGGGAATTAGAAATACCAATGTCTATATAGTCAGCTAAATAGTCCCAAAAACTTTTAGGATAGCTGTGGCAGACTGTGGATTCGCACTCTTCTCAATTAGGGATGGTATCATTAGGATTTTATCAATACCAATATTAATTAAAACTCTTGTCTGTGCAGATTCTCAGGCATCCAGGTCATAGTAAGATGAAAAAAACCTAGGTTTTAGGTCGAAGATGTTTCACCTCTCATCCAAGAGGCTTCATCAGTTCTGCCCGACTGGCAGGGAGTTGGAGATATTTATCCCCATCAATGGTGTTTCAGTCCTATGATGCCAAACAATGTCACCTAACAATTTAGTCATTATGGATGTGTTACGGCACGACGTAAGTAGTGCGGGCGTGGACTCAGAAATAATGCAGGACTCAGACTCAGGCTTGACCAGGCAAGTGCATTTAATGAGTGTATAGAGGAGAAGTGACAGAGCTGGTCTCATCCGCTGGTCGCAGGGCAGCTGGGAGTGCTGGGTGGACTGGACTGCTAGTGATGCAACCCGGGGTTGAAGGAGGGCCGCAGCTTGCTGATAAGTTGAATGCACCATCTCTAGGCAGGTGAGCGCCGCAGGCAAAAGAAGCAGTCCAGGGCAGCAGGAGAGGGCACAGGAGATAGCCGGTCAGATGAGCAGGCCCACGGCAGAGCAGGCGGTAGGATGATGTGATGAAAACTGACAGAGGAGATCCAGAATCATAGTAAGAGCAGGTCTCCACAGGGCGGTGCTACTGGGATTACTCATACCAGCTGACGAGGTGCGAGCAGGTCTCCACAGGGCGGTGCTACTGGGATTACTCATACCAGCTGACGAGGTGCTCGAGGTGGCCTGGGCCACGGACGTAACAGTATGACAAGTTGTGTCTTAGTCCACCACCCATATTTAGTGAGGGGTGTTCTATTTTTGCAAAAATAGCTTCCTTAACTCCTCTCTCAAACCAGCGATGTTCTCTGGAGAGGATCTGGACTTCACTGTCCTCAAAAGAATGTCCTTTGTCCTTCAGGTGGAGGTGGACTGCTGACTCTGGTCCACTGGAGTTGGCCCTCCTGTGTTGGGCCATGCGTTTGTGAAGCGGCTGCTTAGTTTCACCAATGTACAAGTCGTTACACTCCTGACTACACTTAATTGCATACACCACATCACTCTGTTTATGTCTGGGTCTTTTGTCCTTTGGGTGGACCAGTCTCTGCCGCAGGGTGTTCCCCAGTTTAAAGTTAACTGGGATATTGTGGTTGCGAAATATCCTTTTTCATTTCTCTGATTAACCAGCCACATAAGGGATGACAGTGTTATCCCCTCTTGTTTCTGGTTTCTCCCTGTTGGTGTTGGGCCTCTTCCTTGCTTTGGTTATGGCCCACTTAGGGTATCCACAAGCCCTAAGGGAGTTCTGGATGGGTAGTTTCTCCTTCTTGGCCCCTTCTGCAGTAGTGTGCACTTCCTCTGCCCTGTGATTTAGAGTTCTGATAACTCCCAGTTTGTGTTGAAGTGGATGGTGTGAGTCAAAAAACAGGTACTGGTCTGTATGTGTAGGTTGCCAATATATTTCTACCTAAATAGGGGCAGTGGACTAAGACACAACTTGTCATCCATAACGACTCAGTCGTTAGGGGACATTGTTGGCCATCAAAGGACTGATGTGACAATACAGTGACATTTTCTCTGATTTTACACCTCTGAATGTTGTGAAAGGGTTTTAGACATTCTAGAAAAGCTTTTGTTTTTTGTTTAGTTTTTTCAAATGGCAAAATATATCATAAAAAAGGACAAATGTATAAAGTAATTTTGTGATTTCAGTACAACATTAAAGCATACTGTATCTCAGTACGGCACAGCCTGCTGCTTAGTGAAAACTGTTCGCTACCAAACAGTAACAACATACTAACAACGTACAGTAAAACCAGATGAATCAGATGAACACAGGCTATTTCCGCCATGGATCCTGATCGAGGTCATAACAATTACTAATCATCAATAAAACGAAGGTTATTTAAATATATCTAGCCCGTATCATTAAATCTAACCTAAAATATCATTTCATAGCTGTCACAGGACGTCCACCGGGCTTCAAGAGTCAAGAACAAAGTCCAGCTTTGAACACATGCACAATCTGTGGAATCGATGTTTCTTCTGCTCAGAGTGTTACGCCTGTGACCCCGTGATGTGCTTTTGACAGTCAGGTCACTGTTGTAAATTCATCTTCATATTGAGGAAAGCACAAACAAGTGTTCACTTTGTATTTGTAATTTCTTGAACTTTTTTTAAGCATATTCTCACAAACATACAACATATTTTACATCTGATTTTACAGGAGTTTACAAAGCACAGTTTGTGTACAACTTATTATTTAATGCACAGCCATAGACTAATATGCACGCATATTATTGACAGCTGTCTTACCCCATATGGGCATTTGTGTTCTGACTGTTCTTGTGAATTTGTTCACATCACGTGACCTGTTGTGTCTCAGGTGGTGCGGGTGGCAAGGCTGTCGGGGGTAGATCGTGCCCTGGAGATCCTATATTTTGTGGAGGGTCCGAGTGGTGAGCGGATTCCAGCCGAGGTGATGGCAGCCACCCTTAACCGTCTGGACCTTCAGAGAGCCGCCATCGTTCTCGGACACCGGGTCCAGAGGCCACTGGCCCAACGTGAGTCAGTACCTGAATCTGTCAATAACACAGGTCACAGATCAGATATCATATTAGATCTTTTTATTTTTTGTATCATATAGATGAATGTACTGGAGCATGTTGTATTTGGCACTGTGAGCCTGGCTGCTGTGTGATTGTGTCAGAAACCTTCTTCTCCTGGTCTGAAACATAGGCTTCATATGCTACGTTGCTAAAGTCAGTGTAACTTACCCTCTTCTGCACATTCACCAAACTGGAACTGAATAAAACCTTAACAAACAGACACTCACACACACACACACACCTCACTGTCTCCATGGCAACAGCATACACCTTGTGGCTTGATGGGAACTGTAGTTCCAAAACCCAGCACATGCTTATCTCAAACATAAGTAAGAAAAACATTAACAAGACTGGTGAAAAACATTATTATTAACTTATTTCAGCTTTGACCAGTCAGCGTGGTTTTATGACACCTTCCTTGATTCATTCATACTGTAGTAAGATGTTTACTGTGTGATGTGGACATACAGACATGTATCTGTCTAAACAAACTGATGGTCCAACCTATTCTGAAAACAACATGACATACACAGCAAAAAACAAAGGCCTTTAAAAAAAGACTTTTAACCAAAATCACCATCTTTCCTGAACTAGAACCAAACAGTTCTATTATTTAAACCAAATGTAGGTGAGACTCAGGACATGAACTGGGACAGCTGAGTGTGAGTGAGTACAATTCACACACACATTATGCTTCCTCTGAAACAGAACTGACAAAGCCAATCAGTCATTGATAAACATAACCTCAAGGAGACAGGGTTGGACAGTGATGGCACACTTCTGGCTCTCACCTGTGTCTCACCTGTATCCAGCTGTGGAGACTCTGTCGGTCCCTCCGGCGGAGACTCAGAGCAGCAGCATCTGGCTTATTATCGGCGTGGTTGTCCCTGTCCTGCTGGCCGTCTTCATCATCATCATCCTCTACTGGAAACTGTGTGGCTCTGAGAAGCTTGAGTTTCAGCCAGACACCATCAACACCATCCAACAGAGACAGAAGGTCAGATGTCAACAGGAGGTATCTGTGTGTATTTAGAAACACTGGCAGCTGACGCGCGTGTTCCTCTGTCAGCTTCAGGCTCCCAGTGTGAAAGGTTTTGACTTTGCAAAGCTCCACCTCGGTCAGCACAGTAAAGATGGCATCATGGTGATCCAGGAGCCTGGCCCTCTGCCTGCCCCCCTGAAAGAGGCCACGCCCTCTGATGGCGGAGACGTCAACACCCCCAGATCTAAAGGTTCATCCATCAAGGCGTCCCGGTCCAGCCGCCGAAGGGGAAGGTCAGTAACATACTTGTTGTCACATACTCATTTATCGTCTTCAGTGTTTATGGCTCCTAGCTTCACCAGAAGGGCTCATTTGTATGAAGGGCTGCCACGTATGTGACAGGTCAATGTGAAGGGCTTCATTCACGTTTCCAGCCCATGTGTTTCCGTTTTGTTTTGGTTAGCCAATGCTGTTAACATAGCCTACTCTACCTTAGCACCAATTCTACCACCAGTGTGTCGGCACTGGGAGATAAAAACACAGTTTAAACTAGTAACGAAAATGCATGGCGTGTCGTTATGATGCGTTAATTGTGGCCCAGATTTGTCAGTGACTAGCAGTGAATGCTCATGCTAACAAGGTAAACAAAGGAGTCTTCTTCTTCTTTCCGTGGGTGTCCATGTCCCGATCGTTCCGCGAGGTGATTGGTCAGTGCAGCGCCTTTGCCAGATGATGTCACCGTCTGGTATGGTTTAGGTTGAACCAGAGCCAACTTTTTCTCCCCACAGGGTTGCTTTCTTTTGCCAGAGCCCCCTGCGGTGGACTGCGGTTGGACCTGCAGCGAACACAGTCCCCCATAGAAATGAATGGAGAGGGCTGTGCTTTTTCACACCTTTGAAACTCAGTCTGAACGCGGCCTTAGAAAGAGGTTTAAGGGTGTGTGAACAGCACCTACATTTGTTTACCCTGTACTGCCTAAAATCTGCCTACAAGATTAACAAACTGTAGGCGAAATAGGCTAAGCCCCCGAGGCTGTGTGCTGAACCCCCTACTCTATGTCCTGTATACCTACAACTGCACGCCGTCCCACCCAGCCAACACGGATGGTACCACCATGGTCGGGTTCATCTCTGGAGGGGATGAGATGGTACACAGGACTGAGGTAGGGAACCTGTCTGCCTGGTGGTCAGAAAATAACCAGACCAGGACTGAATGTCAAGACTAAGTCTGACTTACTGCCGGCGATGCG